ACAATGGAAAATAATTATAAAAAAATGTCTGCTATAAAGTAAGTTTCATTTAGTTCATGAATGTTTAATACCAAACGTATATAATGAGTTTAAAATAGAACTTGTTTCTTGGTGGATAGTTCTCTGTCCATTGTTCACTATTCTACTTATGTAAAAATCAAAAACTATTAATTGCGAAAAATATTTTGTATTTTTTATCTAAACAATTTTTTTTTTTTTTTTTTTTTTTCGAAGAATGAACATGCCTGCGGCAGATTGCAACCTATCAAAAGCCGTTCAATGCTTAAAAGCAAAAGCGCCAAATACAAGAAATATTGATGCGCAAATCAATACTGGATCCTTATATAGATCCAAAAAGCTTTAGTACGCACGATGTTTACAGCATCGGCGTACTTTTATGGGAAATATCAAGTGGTCGTTGCTCGGAGGTGGAACGTGCGACATTCTTGTTGCAGAAATCAATTTAAATTTATGTCGGTGTTTGTATATAGGATATCAGTTTGGCTGAGAAGTAGAATTTAAAGTGGCGGATAAATAGTTGTAATAGTCTTAATGCTTAATTAATTTTTGATAATTTTCAAGTTTATGATTATACAATTTGTTTATAATAAATACTTTATAATAAAGTTTTCCTAAACTCCATGGTTAAGTTAATTTATTTACCAATAAAGAAATTACATATTTTATATTGTGCGATCCCACTCATTTTTAAATGACTTCAAATTAATATTCCTTTTAATTTCACAGAGAAAACTGCATCAGAGTTTGTTCATTTTCATTTTCGTTGACTTCTATAACTTTATTTGTTAAATCAAAAGACATCAATATACAGGATCTATCGAAATATCAAGCATCACCTCAAATAAAAGCTTACATTTGATAATACAAACAATCTTCTAGGCCGGTGTGTAATTTAGCAAAGACGGTCGGGATGAATTTGTTATGCTATATACCCTCTCCAATTCTTTTCGAACCATCCAATGCTTTGCTGGTTTTCCGACCCATCCGTTCATTCCAGCTTCAAAAAATCGTTCTTCGCAAGGATTTGTTGTATAAGCTATGATTGGTATGTTACGATTTTGTTCCAATACGTTAAAACCCTTCTTGTGTATCTCTATCGTTGTTTCGATTCCTGATAATTCTGGCATAGATGTACGAAATAACCTTCCATGATTTGCAAACATATTATGAAATAGAGAAAAACTTTAATGGAAAAAATATCTTCAGGATATAACATCGACACGTTATCTTGATATTTTCCAAAAAAAAAAAAAAAAAAGGTTTCTTTTCCTTCATTTGAGTATTAACTAGTAATTTCCTTTAAGGTGAGTGTCAGAATTAATTAGTCTCTTTGAATCCCAAAGATTCTATTGAATTTAGTTTCAAGATCAATAATATTTTTTGAACGTTTGGTAGCTTTGTATCTCTGCATACTATTCATTGTTTAATTATTTTTGCTTGGCAACCTTGAATCCACAACGAATGATCTTTAACGCTTGATGCTCAGCAGATAAATAATAACCGAACCAGATCTCAATGTCAAACTCTTTCAAGAGTCATAATTAAAAGAACGTTCAAAGTAAGGAATCGTGGCTTCATTAGTTTCTTGAAGTACTAATTCAGGAACAAATCTTTATGTCCTCTTCATAATTTGGAAGTCAACCAACAAAGAACGGCATGTTCACATGTTTGAACGCATCTCTCAAATCCTGTTTTAAATTCACCTTTATTAGCAGATATGATCTAAAATATGGAATCAATTTAAATAAAGTGTAACGATCCATTCTATTTCATTAATATAAAAATAATTATCTTACCAATATTCTAACATCTGTTTAAGAAGCGCGTCATTCATAATTTTTATGACCTGGTGCATCTATCGACCCTTATTTGTTTTAAATAAGCACGTTCAAATTCTTCTAATTTCCCTGTATAAATAATAAATGTAAATTGGAAAGAATAATAAAAATAATACAATAAATATATTGAATATAAGTAAAGTAAATACTTTGCACGTTATTCCTTATTTGTATCAATCGCCCATAATAAATATCATGCCCGTTTTGTTCTTTAGCTTCATTTTCGTATTTATCTGATCAAACCGATGGTATGAGATTCGGGATTGCTCTCGGTGGTTTAATAGTAACAGTTGTGATGGTGATTGTTCGAGGAAGAAAAAAAAAAGAATTACCATTCCTGTCAAAAACCTTTTCATATAAAAAGTTAATTAGTATATTTAGAAATAAATTGATGACCCTGCATATAGTGCATCTAATTACACATTGAAATAATAATCGTAAAACATTCCTTCGGATATAACGATCAAAGAACAACAAATGGAATTAAAATTCTAATACTAACCTACATGTCCGATAAATACTAAGTTTGAAAATGCTCTTTCCATATAATTCCTCAATAACACAGGCTCTTCCTCTTTCGAATTCTCTTTAGAAGCTTCGCTTATATTCTCTTCGAGCATGAATAATGATCAAGATGCGTACACATCTTAGAAAATTTACTCCAAGCTTCGAAATGCTAAAATTTACGCGTCAATTTTCTTTGAAAAGTTAGAACTTTTGACCCATTACAGCACAATATTACTCGACAACAGCGTTGGTCGCATTCTCGACTATAATGAAAGAATCCTCAGCGACATACAAAGATTTTGAAGCTCAATTAGTAGAGCAGCGTCTGAATTCCAGCTGGAAAGTACGTAAAACATTTGCTGGTAAAGGTTTTTGGAGGATGGAATGCCAGAGAACGGAAATATACCCTTTAGGAGTCGTTGGCGTTACTAACGACTGTTATATGTGCCGAACGTTACGAACGGTTGAACTGAGTAGCATTAACGCGTCTTTTCCCTAATTAATTTAAAAGATCTTCTATTGCTATTTACAGTTAGTTTTTTTAATAATTTAAAATCAGCACGAGATAGATATAAAAAAGGTAATAAAATAGTGTTTAGATATTCATTGAATAAATAATTTGACCTTTTTGGTGAACCCGTTATTAAACTTGGAATATATATTAACTGAGTGGTGGAATTGGAAGTTACTGCTACACCCGTCGTTAGCTCAAATACATTGGATCACAAACGTAGGTTTTTCAAAATTTAGTTTACTTCTATTTAAATATTTCTTGGACTAGTCCGTAATTCATGCAAAATGGTGGTTGTGGCCAAGAATGAAAGAATACGTGCTTTTCTTGTCAGAATTCGCGAGAAAAAACTAAATTCATATGTTTCTAAGCATTTATTTTGGTATTTCCACATTTCCGATTGATCTTATTATTTATTTATAGTATGAAACCTTAAG